ACCGTCTTTGGGCGCCTCTGGGGCCGTCTTGGGCGCCTCCGGGGCCGTCTCGGGCAGGTGCCTGGCCGTAGCCAGAGCCGTCCCCCTCCTCCCCCTCCTCTGCACTCCTCCCTAGGAGGGCATCGCCCCAACTCGGCGTGCATCACTCGTGCCTCGCCCGTTCCGTCACCCCGGCGTTCCTGGGCGGCGTGGGCTGTCGGGCCCCCGTCGGCATTCTCCTCCTGCTCCTCCGGATCACCATCATGATCATCACCACCACCAGCAACATATCACCATCACCATCACCATCACCATCATCATCATCATCATCATCATCATCATCATCATCATCATCATCATCATCATCACCACCAGCACCAGCACCAGCACCAGCAGCACCAGCACCATCACCATCACCATCATCATCACCATTATCATCATCATCATCATCATCATCATCATCATCATCATCATCATCCTCATCAGCATCATCATCATCAGCTTCATCATCATCACCTTCATCGTCATGTTCATCATCATCATCGTCATAATCATCATCATCATCATCATCATCATCATCGCCATCATCATCACCATCACCACCACCACCACCAGCACCAGCACCATCACCATCATCATCACCATAATCATCATCAACATCATCAGCAGCATCATCATCTTCATCATCATGTTCATCATCATCATCGTCATCATCATCATCATCACCACCACCACCAGCACCAGCAGCACCAGCACCATCACCATCATCATCACCATTATCATCATCATCATCATCATCATCATCGTCATCTTCATCGTCATGTTCATCATCATCATCACCATCATCATCAGCATCATCTCCATCAGCATCATCAGCGTGAGCATTGTTATCATTGGTATCATCATCATCATCGTCATCAATATCATCACCAGCAACCTCAGTATCAGCATCAGCGTCAGCATCAGCATCATCAGCATCAACACCATCATCACCATCATCATCACCATCATCATCATCATCATCATCGTCATCATCATCATCATCATCACCAACACCATCATCACTGTCAGCATCATCATCATCAGCAGCAGCATCAGCATCAGCATCATCCTCATCATCAGCATCAGCATCCTCATCATCATCAGCACCATCACCATCATCATCATCACCAGTATCATCATCATCATCATCATCATCAGCATCATCATCATCATCTTCATCGTCATGTTCATCGTCATCATCATCGTCATCATCATCAGCATCATCTCCATCAGCATCATCAGCATGAGCATTGTTATCATTGGTCTCATCATCATTGTCATCATTATCATTATCATTATCAGCAACATCAGCATCAGCATCAGCATCAGCATTAGCAGCATTAGCACCAGCACCATCATCAGCATCAGCATCAGCATCAGCACCATCATTTTCATCACCAATACCATCATCATTGTCAGCATCATCATCATCAGCAGCAGCATCAGCATGTGCATCATCATCCTCATCATCAGCATCAGCATCAGCATCCTCATCACCATCAGCACCATCACCATCATCGTCACCATTATCATCATCATCAACATCAGCATTATCTTCATCGTCATCATCATCATCACCGTCATAAGCAGCATCATCTCCATCAGCATCATCAGCATAAGCATTGCTATCATGGGTGTCATCATCATTGTCATCATTGGCAGCATCAGCAACATCAGCATCAGCATCAGCATCAGCAGCAGCATCAGCATCAGCATCATCATCGTCATCATCAGCATCAGCATCAGCACCATCATTTTCATCACCATCACCATCATCATTGTCAGCATAGTCAACATCATCATCAGCAGCAGCATCAGCATCAGCATCATCATCGTCATCATCAGCATCAGCATCAGCATCCTCATCATCATCAGCACCATCACCATTATCATCACCATCATCATCAGCAGCAGCATCATCATCATCATCATCACCACCACCACCACCACCATCATCATCATCATCATCATCATCATCATCAGCATCATCATCATCATCATCATCATCATCATCTTCATCGTCATGTTCATCATCATCATCAGCATCATCATCGTCGTCATCATCATCAGCATCATCTCTATCAGCATCATCAGCATGAGCAGTGTTATCATTGGTGTCATCATCTTTGTCATCATTATCATCAGCATCAGCATCATCAGCATCAACACCATCATCAGCATCAGCATCAGCACCATCATTTGCATCACCAACACCATCATCATCGTCAGCATCATCATCAGCAGCAGCAGCAGCATCATCCTCACCATCAGCATCAGCATCAGCATCCTCATCATCATCAGCAGCAGCAGGATCATCATCATCATCATCATCATCATCATCATCATCATCATCATCATCATCATCATCATCATCATCCCTCTCGAGATGATCCCTCCCGAACGTGACCCTCGACTCGCCTACCTGCGCCCCCAGTGGTGCCACAGGCGGCGCCCGAGGGGCGGCGACGAGAGGCCGGCGGTGACAAGTGCGCCCACGGAGGCCGCCGCAGGCCTGCGACCGGAGGCCGGCGAAGGCGCCTCGAAGCCGGCGCCCCGACTCGCTCGAGGCGCCGGACGGCGGGCCGTCCCTGTCCGAAGATCGCCCTCCTGCTCCGCCTCCTCCTCCTGCTGCTCCTCCTCCTGCTCCTCCTCCTCCTCCTCATCCGCCTCCTCCTCCTCTCCGAGCAAGCGGGCCTCCTCCTCCTCCTCCTCCTCCTGCTCCTCCTCCTCCGCCTCCTCCGCCTCCCTGTGATCGGGCGCCTGGGGCGCTCCCTGAGCCCCAGGGCCGTCAGAAAACAACACTGGGGACGGAACAACTGGTCCTGGGGCACCAGCCCACCGGAGGCGTGCAGACTGCGAGGCGCGGACTGACCCATGAGCCTCTCTGTGCTTGGACTCTGTCGAGTCTGCCTGCATGGCATGTTGCCCCCCTGGCCCCTCCCGGCGCCTGCTCGTTGAGTCCTGGGCCGGGGAGGGGAGCAAGTGAGTCTCGACATGCGTGCAGCCCAGATTTTTCCACGCCCGCCCTCCCCCCCTCCATGCAGGTAGACTCTCCGGAGTCGAAAGGATAATTGCCTCAGAGGATGAGGACCTCCTGTCTCCTGGACTCGGGTCGGGCCGAAATTGGCTCGGCTGCACCAGGAGGCAACTCCTGGGACGTCTTCGTGGAAACGGATTCAGTCTATTTCACCCAGTTCAGGGGCCACTGAGCTGGATCTGGCCGGATGAAGCTGATGGGCCTGTTTTCCACCACCACCACCATAAGTTGGATGGGGAGGGGTCCTCCTCCTCCTCATCCTCCTCCTGCTCCTTTTCGTCCTCCTCGTCCTCGTCCTCACCCTCCCTCCCCCCTCCAACTTATGGTGGTGGTGGTGGAAAACAGGCCCATCGGAAGCCCAGGATCATTAAGTCGAACTCGGCAGGCGGAGGAAGCGGGATCATGCTGGATCGCGCCGGCTTTCGATCACGGATGTGCCAGCGCCGATGCTGCATCCAATATGCTCAAAGCTGCATCCCAAGAGTCGGGCGGAGGCTACCTCAGCTGCACGCAGGACGTCGCGTCGTGGACCCTAAAGGGGCACGGCCTGCCGATCGCTGCGTCACGCTGCGACAACAGCGGCCCGCATGCCTGGGTTTTGACCCCCCAACAACACCCGAAAACCGCGCACCAAAGGCCAAAGGTTGCCCTGGCGAAGGGTCACTCTGACGTGCAGCCGATCAGCGACTTGGGGGGGGGGGCATAAACGCGGGGTCGTCCAGGGTGGAGGATAGCGGCCCCAAAGGGGCCGACGAAACTGTCACCCTGTCATCAAGAGGTGCTGGGAGGGTTCGCCTTTCTTCCCCACAATTGCTTCCCCGCGAACTCTTCAACGACTCTGCCAACTTCGCCGACTTGGCGATGGACTGCCCTGGCAGCAGCGCCAGGTCACCGCTGGCGGGTGTTCAGCAATGCTAACATAACAACACTGCCAAGTACCACAACATAGAAGACATTACGGGCATGGGGAGAGGGCCCAGTGCCAACCCGAGAGGTTCGCGCGGACTTCAAAAATTATCCCGGCAAAGCAACCTAACCGCGATGTGTAGAAGCATATCTGAAAGCATTCCCCTTAAGATTCAGATGAAAATCCAGTTGTAGAATTCTGCTGTTCTCGCAGTCGTAGTCGCATTCGCGATGACAGTCGCAGCGGCAACGGCAGTCGCAGTCACAGCCTCAGCCTCAGCCTGCCTCAGCCTCAGCCTCAGCCTGCCTCAGCCTCAGCCTGCCTCAGCCTCAGCCTCAGCCTGCTTCAGCCTCAGCCTCAGTCTGCCTTCAGCCTCGGCCTCAGCCTCAGCCTGCCTCAGCCTCAGCCTGCATCAGCCTCAGCCTCAGCCTCAGCCTGCCTCAGCATCAGCCTGCTTCAGCCTCAGCCTCAGCCTCCTCAGCCTCAGCCTCAGTCTGCTTCAGCCTCAGCCTCAGTCTGCCTTCAGCCTCGGCCTCAGCCTCAGCCTGCCTCAGCCTCAGCCTGCCTCGGCCGCAGCATCAGCCTGCCTCAGCATTCAAAATGTGGCCCAGGAATGGAGTTCTGGGAACTAGAAGAACACGAAGTGGCCTACAGTTGGCTCCGGGCATTCAAAATCATGCCCAGGAATGGAGTTCTGGGAACTTGAAGAGCACGAAGTGGCCTACAGTTGGCTCCGGGCATCCAAAATGTGGCCCGGGAATGGAGTTCTGGGAAATCGAAGAGCACGAAGTGGCCTACAGTTGGCTCCGGGCATCCAGAATGTGGCCCGGGAGTGGAGTTCTGGGAGCACCAAGAGCGATTTTGCGAGGATGTCCCAAGCGATTTGGGCTTCGGCGGCAGCCGTTCCGGGTCCCGCCCCGACCCCCCTGAGGAGTCATGATGCTCTCTTTTGAGACCACTAGAAACCTATCAGCAAGAGCTGTTAGGTAAAAAACGCTGGTGTAACAAATGGATGCGACTCGCGTGAGGCCCTCGCTAGGACAACAGGGCATTCAGAGAGTCGTACAATCCGAACACCGTGATGCCAATCCCAAGCAGCGTGAATACGCAGTGGGCAGTCTTGCGGCAACTCGAGTAGTCTGGTGCGCCGCACTTCCGCCGGATCCTGTAGGCAAAAAAGAACACGAAGAAGACACCCTGCAGTGGACCGAGGACGGCCATAATGACAGCATAGAGCTCCCCGAATTTCTCAGTCATGAGAGCAACCGACACTGTAACTCCAACCAGCACGGATCGCATGATGTAGTTCCCGGCTGTGCCAGCCCGGCAGTACGACTGACCACAACTGGTGCTCTCAACAGAGACAAAGACACACATCATATTCAGAGGGTAGCTGAGGAGGATATTTACAGCAACGGCAATACACATGATCCGCGGAACCATCACTGTCTTCCCTCCGGTCCACGCTTCAAGTGGCAATCGACTCTCCTCGTAATTCCCAGGATGGTACATCATCGAGTCCACAATGCTCTCTTCCACGAAGTCTCCGTATCCGTAATGGCCCGCGACCACGACACCCCAATACAGCACCGTTATTATGGCCATGGTGCCGTAAAGCGATCCATTAAACTCTCGAACGTCGGCCATATCCGCTGTGATTGTTGGCACGTTCGGGATAAAACCGAACGCGCCATTGAGTGTGGCAAGCGCAGAAAATGGCGCCATGAATGACATGTGCGGAGGGGGGCCAATAATGTGAACGGGCTCGTCCCAGCCTTTCCAAACCTGCGCGTCCACGATGCCTTTCACGACGATGAGCACGCAGGATGCGACTCCCGCAGCTGTGGCTAGCGGCATCAGCTTTGCGATGGCGACAGTGTCGCGCATCATCGACAGGAGCCACAAGATCGGCCCCACCATCAGCACACACGTTCGGTAGCTGGCATCAGGCAGCAGAACTCGCCGGCCCAACAAGCCAAAGGCGTCTCACATGCTGGCCAGACACAGGCAGACCTCCGACGTCTCGACTTGCCCGAGACGCCTTCCCCTGGGCCTCTCGGTCCCTTCCACGGGGCCAGTTGCTGGACAAAGGCCAGTTTCCTGACGGCCCCCGAGCCCAGAGGCCACACTATGCGAACAGCCTCCGTCGCGTCGCTGTTTTGTTCGAGTCGCCAGGGGATTAAGAGGAATTCGTTTTAAACAAAAAAAAGTGCGCGAGGCCGCCATGGTGGACAGCCAACCGACGAAGGAGCCTTCCGCATTCGGAGACGGAGCGCGTCCAGGTGCCACTTCTCGGGGAGCCAGGCTGCGCCACGACGGCACCATGACGGCCCGAGACCAGCAAGAGGCCGCACTAAAACGGAGCCCGAAAACGCTCTGAAGACCGCCCTCAGAACCCCTGCGGATGACCACACAAGGCTCCAAGATGGAAACCCGCCAGCCCTTTGGGCGCAAATCAACCGATCTTATCGTTTCTCCTCTTCCATAGCCCCTCTTCCCTTCGGGGAGGAATAAGCCTGGGAATACATTAAGAAGCCCCCCCGTGTTATCGTTAGCACCGGAGCGAAACAAATAATCCGCGGGGGGCGGATTCAGCGACGCGGTATCCTTAGCACTGCACCGAACCGCAACAAACGAATGATTCTTGCCCCCCCCATTCGACCAAAAGTACTCCTCCGTTTCCTCCCTTCGACCGTAATTGGTGCCTCTCCCTTCGACCACAAGTTATGGGGTCCGCTCTTCTTCCTTCTCCTCCTCCTTTTGTCTTTCCTCCTCACCGCCCCTCCTTCCTCATACGTTTCTATGTTTCCTCCCCACCCCTGTCCCATGCACTTTCCTATTGCAATGCTCACTGAGAATGTGATACCTGGCGGCCGTCCTAGGGGCTGCCCCGCGCGCATCGTTCCAGTAGGGGCGCGCGCACCGTCGGGAACAAACGCCACAGGTTTCAGTGGGGATCGCTCGAAGCAATTCAAGCATGCCGTGTTCTGGTATGCTCTGTTATGCCATGCCTTTTGTCCCCAACCATTATGTGGTGCTGGGTCCTCGTTTTGAATAGACAGCGCCCCGCGTCCTCACTCCTCGCCTCCTCCCCCTCCTCCCTCCTCCCGTCATTATCATGCATATCATCATCATCATCATCATCATCATCATCATCATCATCATCATCATCATCATCATCATCATCATCATCATCATCATCATCATCATCATCATCATCATCACCCGTTTCAGCACACCCCTCACGCGCTTCGTGGACCCATCGGGATCTCAACCGAAAGCCCCAGTGGCACCGCCCGCATGCGTCACCCACACCTATTTCGGCACACCCCTCGCACGCTTCGTGGCCCCATAGGGAGCTCCACCGAAGGCCCCAGTGGCACCGCCCGCATGCATCATCCCCCACCCAGTGCAGCGTTTCGTGGCCCCACGGGGAGCTCCACCGAAGGCCACAGTGGCACCGCCCGCATGCGTCACCCCCACCCAATACGGCGTTTCCACAGAAGGCCCCCGCAGCACCGCCCGCATGCGTCATCCCCCGCCCAGTACAGCGTTTCGCGGCCCCATAGGGAGCTCTGCCGAAGCCCCCAGTGGCACCGCCCGCATGCGCCACCCACACCCAGTACAGCGCTTCGTGGCTCCATAGGGAGCTCCACCAAAGGCCACAATGGCACCGCCCGCATGCGCCAGCCCCACCCAGTACAAAGTTCCGTGGCTCCACAGGGAGCTCCACCGAAAGCCCCAGCGGCACCGCCCGCATGCGCCACACCCACCCAGCACAGCGCTTCGTGGCCTCATTAGGAGCTCCACCGAAGGCCCCAGTTGCACCGCCCGCATGTGTCACCCCCTCCCAGCAGAGCGTTTCAGGGAGCTCCACCGAAGGCCCCCAGTGGCACCGCCCGCATGCGTCACCCCCACCCAGTGCAGCGCTTCGTGGCCCCATAGGGAATCCAACGGGAGGCCCCAGTGGATGCACATGCATGCGTCACCCCCGCCCAGTGCAGCGTCTCGTGGCCCCATAGGAGCTCCAACGAAGGCTCCAGTGGCGGTGTTCGCATGCGTTCCCCCCGCCCAGCACAGCGCTTCGTGGCCTCATGGGGAGCTGCACCGAAGGCCCCGGTGGCTGCACTCGCATGCGTTTCCCCACCCATTACACTGTTTCGTTGCCCCGTAGGGAGTTCCACCGAAGGCCCCAGTGGCGGCCCCGCCCCGCTGCGGCGCACCCCTCACACTTTTCGCGGCCCCGTGGAGGCCACACCCCACATCGGCACACCCTTCGCATGCTTCATGGCCGCGTGAGAAGATCCTCCGAAGGCGATACCGGCAACGACGGCACTCACAACTGCAAATGCTTGGGTTCTTCGCCAGGAAAAGTTTGATATGTTATGTGAAGGCCTTACGCTATAGGATGTTCCGAAAACTGATCTTATGGTTTGCCCCCAACTGTCATGGCATGTTTGGTCATTGGATGCAATGGTCTGTTTGTGATGCTGTGTTATGGTACGCTCTGCCCTTAAGCTTTCGTATGGCATGGTATGCTCAGCTACGCTATGCTATGCTATGCTATGCTATGTGAAGCCATGCTATGTTATGATGTGTTATGCTGTGATGTGTGGTGTTATGCTCACCTCTGTCAGGCTCTGTCGTCGTCGTCGTCGTCGAAGGGGCGAGGCGGTTTCGGGGGATTCCTGGTGGACCTGGGGATCTGGCGGCCGCGGTATGCAGAGAGGGCGGGGCGGCGCGAGGCGGGGGTCTCTGGGGGTCTCTCGGTGGCCTCGGGGCTCTGGCGGCCGCGGTATGCCTGGAGCTCCAGACATACCGCGACCGCCAGCTCCCCGAGTAATTCCCTTCTCCTCCTCCCCTCTCCGCCCCCGCCTCCCCTCCCGCCCCGCCCTCCTCCTCAACCGGCCCTTTTTTTGTGCGGGCCCGACACGTTGTCGAGGCCCCCCCCCGCACGGCGCAACCGCGTGTGGGGATGGATTGTGTAGTAGTGATGGACGTCTGTTCTAACAATCGAACGGCCCCAACCTGTCAGGTGGGGAAAATCAGCCACTGGTGACAACAGCACAGCCTCACCACAACCCGACATCGACTTGCAACGGTGATGCAAGCTTCGATGAGGATCAGCGAGTAGAAGATGGTGTTTGGAGCTGGGGAGGTGTTATTGGCCCACTCCCCAGGAGCAAACATAATTGCATTTGAAATAAAAACCGGGCTGGTCAAAGACCGGCCGACAACAAGACGACGCTACCCCAAATAGGTCCAATATGGCCTCGGGATTGCGTCTAGGATCTAGGAAGCCCCAAGACCTCACAAGATCCTCATCACGCCCCCGACAGACTCTCAAGAGCAACCTTGAGGAATCCACAAGGTCACTGACAAGCTTCTGAGAGGCCACAAACATTGAAACGTTCAGATCAAGCTTTCCACCTGAGCCCACCATTGGCCCATGAAAGCTTCCAGAACAAAAACTCAAAGTGCCCCCCAATAGGCCCCACACATGTAAAGAGTCGCCCCTGGGACAGCACAACACGGTACCCAATCGGCTTCATGCTGGGCAAATGCAATCCCGAAACGGCTCCACGACAGCAGAAGGCTCTTCGAACATCAGAGGTCGCCAGAAGATCCGTCAGACGGTCCTCAGACCACCCAGACGATCCAAGACCTCCAACATGTCCAAAGAGACCCTCACGAGGCCGATGTCGCAGCCAGTTTGCCACCAAGAGGGCCCCAGGCGGCCCAAGCTGAACCCCGTTCCTCCTCCTCCTCCTCCTCCTCATCCTCCTCCTCCTCCTCATTCTCTGCGTCCTCTTCTTCCTTGTCCCCCTTCTCCCCCCTCGTCCTCCACCCCGGCTCTCCTTCTCCGTCCTCCCCGTCCTGCTCTGCTTCGTCGTCCTCTCTCTCGCCCGCCCCTTCCCCCCACTCCGCCCCTCCTCGCGTCCACTGTCTCCCTGGCCTCTCCCTGCGCCTCCTCTCCCCCCTCCTGGGAGCAGGCGAGACCCCCAGCCGAATCGACACTCAGCACCCCCCCACGGCCGCGCGCGGCCCGAGCCCCACGAGCCGGCCACGCCTCCAAACCGACGCCACCGCGCTACCGCGCCTGGCAAGGCATTGGTTTGGGGGTATCGTAGTGGCTAAGTAGTGGTTCTAGTCGCCCGATCCTGAAGGTCGGCGGGGGCGCTCCCGAGCGGGCGAATCAAGTCGCTCATGCCCTTGAGCTGCTGCCCCAAGAGGATGGCGTATCCCGAGCACAGCCCGGCGACCCGGGCGACGACCGACGCCCGCACCAGCTGCGCCCCCGCCTCTCCCGCGCCCTCCCTCCCGAAGTCTTCGAACGTGAGTATCTTCGCCCGGCTGCTGTCGCCCTCGGCGAGCTCGTTGTGCCTCACCATGGCGTCGGTGAACACCAGCCCCGTCTCCAGCGTGTAGAGCGCCGTCGCCACGCAGAGCGCGCTCGAGGGGAGCAGGCCCGACTGCACCGGCAGCTGCGGGAGCGCCATGATGCCGGCCCCGATGATGGCCGCGATGAGGGTGAGCATCGCCCCCACCTGTGTGATCTGCTCGCGGGGGCCGTGCATGCTCCCCACCAGGGGATCTTGGTCCAGGTTGAGCTGGCAGGTGACACTCCTCGCCACTGCGCTCGGCCGAGAGCCTGCGCCGAGCTGCCGGCCCTGCGCTGTCAACGACGGGCGCGAGCCCGTCGAGTCCACCTCGAACGAGGGCGGGGCGTCCACCTCGAGCGAGTGCCGACGAGAAGCCATTCGCGCACGGACTCTGGCGAGGGCGCGCTCGGGGTGCAACGCCTATGCTCAGAAGAAGCGCTCCGCGCCAGCGCACGCCGAGCGATGCGCGGTGCTCAGGACTGAAATCTACGGGGCCGCAACTTGCAGGCTCGGCTGCCGCTCGAGCCAACACGGCCGCGACTGGAGCGCCGTGGCAAGAAATTCTGCTGGTGCCACCGAGGCCTCCCTGCGCTTCCCTGTCTCACGCCCGCACAATCGTCATTCCCGCCGGGGCCCGACGGCACGATTTCTGGTGGGGCGCGCCCAGCCCAGGTTCTTCCACCTGCCGGATTTGATCATGGGCTTGCACAGATTGACTGAGCAGGCAGGGCTAGCATGGCCAAATATGAACATGGCCACGTGTTTCAGTACGCCTTATAACAATCAAGCGCATCCGAGCTTTCAAAAGCACGACCAGCCCTGAGCGTTGAGGCCCGACTCGCCTCGCTGAAGCCAGTGGCATATTGACGTAAGGCGTAAGGTCACCATTGTGCGCCATCATCTATGTGGTTCTGGGGAGGTCCCGTGTTTACGTTCGCTATTGCGTGTGATGGGGCGTGGCGGGACCTGAGGCATTCAAACTCCGCCAGTCGATCGGGCCACCCACACGAACATGTCTTTCCAATGCTCTATGATGCGCCAGCTTTTCGTGTCTCTTGGCGTGGGATCCCTACCTAAGCTGTTCAGCGCACCTGGTTGATTTTAGGCGTGTGGTGTTCAGGTATGATCGCTCAGGTGCAATGTGTGTAATCAAAGCTGTCTGTACAGATGCAGGGTAAGGCTGCAAAAAGACCCGTCGACGTGCACACTGAAACCATTGCTGCCGCGACATGCGAGCCAAGTCTGCTACGGATAGATCGAGGCTGCAACGATGCAAGGGTAACATTGATGAATCAGTGCACCTGAACTTCTAAGCATGACTTTATTCACACCGGACGCAGTAGAGCAGCTGCAGCGCTACGATTAATAATGATCGTGTTCTGGATCGCGCGGTGTTGTTATACATTCTAGGGGTCTTCGCGGGGTAGTATGATAGCGCGCCCTGTCGGAATTGTTGTAAACATCACAAGACAACGAATGATCATGCAATCTCTATGTTATCAACACTACGGCTACATTCCGCTCAGGGATCATACGGTTGCACGTGGATTCTGACGGTTTCGCCTCACGGCGAATTATTATGCTACTTGGGACGGCTTCAAGCATGTCACAGAAACCCCGCGCTGCCTCCACCCCGCGCGCTGCAATCGCAGCCGAATCCTCTAGTAGCCCAAGGCTGCGCGTGACGCAATGATGACCCTGCGCTCCGCAGAGTCGCCTGCCGCCATCACCTTCCCGTCTCGCAACTGTCTGGCCTACGATGCCAACTTTACTCTCACTGTTACGAAACACGCGCGTCCTGAAGGAAACGGGTCCTGGAATCCGCCGACCCCTTGTGGATCTCTAGGCGTGTGAGATTATCCCCCCCCCCCCCCCCCATATATCACCCCCCCAGGGACCCCGAACCGGCAATTTGACCCCCCGCTGGCCGAGCCCGACCACGGACCGAACGCGCCACGGGGGAGCGGGGGGCTCCAAAACTGACCAAAAAGGCACCAACGCGCTCCCCAGACGGTCCCAGGGGGCCACGATTCGCCGAAATATCGCCCCTGGACACCCACGATGGCCTCCAGGCGGCCTCCGAAGCTGCCAAGACGCCAAAAAGGCCCCCACGATGCGCCACAAGAGGGTCCCAAGAAACAGAAATCGTCCCATTCTGTTTCGAAGAAGAAACATTTGTCGCACGCTCGCCTATTAGGCTTTCACTACGTCCCAGACAGGCAAAGAAACCTCCAATATCGCCCCCAGGCGGCCAAGGGGGCCCCCAAGAAGGGTCGAAGAGGGTCCAACAACAGCCCACGAAACCCCCAAAACAGCCCAAGAGGGCCCCCAGGCGGCTCCAAGATGGAGTCCAGAGGGCACCTTTTCGAGCCTTCGGCCCCAAGACGCCCCCAGCATGCCCCGAGAACATCCCAAGAGGCCCTGAGGGACCCCCAAGAGAACCCCAAGAACCCCAAAGGCCTCCAAGAAGCCTCCAGGAAGCCCCCCAAAGGCCCCAACATTTGGCCCAAGATGCCTCGAGGCGGCCGGATATGGCCTGCAGACAAGCCAAGATGCCACCAAAAGGCAACAAAAGAGCACCAAGAGGTACGATAACAGCAATGAAGCAACAGGAACGATGTCGAACGCCGTGTCATGATTCGGACAAACCTCGTGAAATGCAGCCCTGGAGGCGCAATAGTTTAAATAGGGGTCGGCGGATGTGGCGCAAGCCTGTAGAATCCACGTCCGGAAGTGACGTGCTGAGCGGCAGCGTTTTCTGCGGAGGCGATAACGCAACGTACCCGATGTATCCAAGTGTTGCATATTTGCCACGTATTGTATTGCGTTACATCATCATGTCTCCCCCCCTAACCCCCCCCAGGGGCTATGCCACATCCGTGGGCCCAAAATGGAGACTCCCATTCGGGGCTCAAAAACGTACCACAACCTATGTAAAACCGATGATTCGGGACTTTAGGCCCTCTGGGAGACCCATGATTAGAGCCGGCGCTGGAAGGCAAGATGGGGAAGGAGTATGAAAAGGAGGGGGGGAGAGGCCCCAAAGAAGTCACCAAAAGGCCCAAAGAAACTCCCAGGAGGCCTCCAGGGGGCCCCCAGGAGGCTCCCAAGAGGCCCCGCGACGAAGTGACTGTACGTGCTCCGGACGTGCACCCCGCGAAGCGAAAGGAATCCACGTCTGGAGGTGACGTGTTGCCGGAGGCAGGTCCGCGGAAGCTATACTGCAACGTATCCAATGTATCCAATGATTGCGTAATTGCTACATATTGTATTATACTACATTGTTATGTACCCCCCTAGCCCCCCCCCAGGGGCCACACCACCACCGCCGACCCAAAGTGGCCCCTCCCTCCTGCGCTTCAAAAACCTACAAAATCCAACCAAAACCAATGGAAAATCTGTGTTTGGGCCCCGTCGCCCTCTTGGGGCCCCACGAGGACGTCCAGACGGCCCAAGATTCATTGTGAAAGTTGAAAGCCTTTAAAAACGAACGTGACCAGACAGCGCAAGAGCGCCCCCAAGACGCCCACACGGGGCTCCGAGAAACCCCCAAGAGGCCCCCCAAAGGCCCCCAAGAGGCCTCACAGACGCCCTCGCGAGGACCCAAGAGGCCCCAAAGAGGCCTCCAAGGGGCCCCCGAGAAGTTCCCAGAGGCCCGACAACGACGTGACTGTACTTGCGCCGGACGTGCACCCCGCGAAACGAGAGGAATCCACGTCCGGAGGTGACGTGTTGCCGGAGGCAGGTCCGCGGAAGCTATACTGCAACGTATCCAATGTATCCAATGATTGCGTAATTGCTACATATTGTATTGTATTACATTGTTATGTACCCCCCTAATCCCCCCCAGGGGCCACACCACCACCGCCGACCCAAAGTGGCCCCTCCCTCCTGCGCCTCAAAAACCTACAAAATCCAATCAAAACCAATGGAAAATCTGTGTTTGGGCCCGTCGCCCTCTTGGGGCCCCCACGAGGGCGTCCAGACGGCCCAAGATTCATTGTGAAAGTTGTTTTAAAAACGAACGTGACCAGACAGCGCAAGAGCGCCCCCAAGACTCCCACACGGGGTTCCGAGAGGCCCCCAAGAGGCCTCCCAGAGGCCCCCAAGAGGCCTCACAGACGCCCTCGCGAGGACCCAAGAGGCCCCAAAGAGGCCTCCAAGGGGCCCCCATTAAATTCCCAGAGGCCCGGCAACGACTGGACTGTACGTGCTCCGGACGTGCACCCCGCGAAGCGAGAGGAATCCACGTCCGGAGGTGACGTGCTGAGCGGCAGCGTTTTCCGGCAAACGCCTTAATGCAACGTATCCGATGTATCCAAAGAGTGCCAAAGTTCAACATGTTGTATTGCGTTGCGCCAGTATGTCTCCCCCTCTAACCCCCCCCCCCGGGGCTACGCTACATCCGTCGACCCAAAATGGCCACCCCCTCCCGGGGCTCAAAAACTTACCAAAACCTATAGAACATCAATGATTTCGACCTCTTCGGCCTCTTGGGGGGCCACGAGGGCGCCAAGACGGCTCAAGATGGGACCAAGAGGGCCCAAAAAGTCCCCATGACGGCCCAAGAGGGCCCCAAGAGCGCCCACAAACAACTGCGCCTCCAGAGGCCGAAATATTTTTTTGTTGTTTCTTTTTTGTTCTCTTTTTTTTTCTGATGGTTCTGGCGATATTTCAGCGTTCTCGCCTTTGCGGCCCAAGCAGCTTCCAAAACCGCTTCAGAACATCCCAAAAAGCCCCCAAAAGGGCTCCAAGACGGCCCAAGAGGGCCCAAAGACGGCCCAAAGAGGCCCCCGAGACGGTCCAAGAGGCCCCTAAGACGGCCCAAGAGGACCCCAAGAGAGCCCCAAGGCGGCCGCGAGAGGCCCCCAAGACGGCCTCCGAAGGGGCAAAACGGAAGAAAAACGCCCCACGACGGCCCAGGACGCCCCCAAGAGGCCCCAAGAGGCCCCCAAGAGGCCCCAAGGGGCCCCCAAGAGGCCCCCCAAGACGTCCCCAAGAAGCCTCCAAAAGGCCCCAAAGAAGCCCCCCAAAGGGCACACAGCGACTGGAGTGTAATGTTATTTCCCCCCCTTGGGCGAACTGCGGCGCAGCGCCAGCCAGGTGAAGTTGGTCACGGCGGCGCCCATGATTAGAGCCGGCGCTGGAAAGGAAGATGGGGAGGCAGGATGAAAAGGAGGGAGGGGGGAAGAGGCCCCAAGGAAGCCCCCAAGACGCCCAAGGAAACTCCCAGGAGGCCTCCAGGAGAGGCCCCCACGGGGCTCCCGAGAGGCCCCACGACGACGTGACTGCACGCGCTCCGGACGTGCACCCCGCGAAGCGAGAGGAATCTGGGGCCTTCCCCGGGAGGACCAGGTCCTCATCCCGAGCAGTTTTGGGCCGTCCTGGGGGCCCGTGCGCGGCCCCCGGAGCCCGAGAACGGCTGAGAACCTCAAGATCCGTTTCCCTCAGGGCCCCTCCCCGCAGCCTCAGGCTCTAGTGACACACAGGGGGGGGCGACGACGACGACGACGACGACGACGACGACGACGACAGGGGAAGAGGCCAGGGCGGAGGAGGCAATTCCGCGGACAACTCAGCGAGCCACTCCGCGGGCCACTCCGCATGGCGACGCCCTCGTTTTCCTCCCGCCCCGCGCGCGCAGCACTCACTCGCCGGCTGCCTGGGTCCCCGGCGGGCGCGAGAGCTTGGCCCTCACGCGCTGATCAGGCGGGGTCGGCGTCGGCTCCTGCGAAGCAGCTTGAGGAAGAAAACTGCTGCGTGAACGTGGACTTTCGGAGCTCCGCGCGGATTTCAGATCTGAGCAGGAACTCCATCCCTGGGGCACGGAGCGCGCTTGGGGCGGCGCCGGAGGCACCGCCGGTCCCAGGCGCCGATCCAAGAAATCGGCGCGGAGTTTCGACAGTGTATGTTTAGGCAGTTGCTCTTCTCCGAGCAGCTGCGGGCGTCTCCTCCTGGCCTGTCGGCAGCCGCTTGCCCTTTGGTCGGCCGGGGGCCGCCAGCCGATTGCCGCCTCGGCCTTGCTGGCCGCGCTTGGCGAGCGGAGGCAGGGCCTCCTCCTGCTCGGCGAGTTTCAGCTCGCGGCCCGTCTCCTGCTCCACGAGGGCCTTCAGCTTCTGCAGCACGCGAATCTTGGACAGCTTTTCCCGTGACAAGAGGTCCCAGTAGATGCCCTCGGGCTTTGGGAACCTCGTCTGCGTGGGCACACGGATCACCCTCGTAGGGGTCACGATGATGTCTACTGGCACGTCGTGCTTCATCATGCCCTTGCCCTCTGGAGGCATCTTCTCCGAGATGACTTGGCTGTCGTGCACGGACGTGATGACTGGGGTGTTCTCGTCGATGCATCCCAGCGCCCGCAGCATGCCGTACTCGAGCTCAGCGAAACCCTCGCCCTTGCCGATGCGCGCGCCGTTAACCGGGTTGACGGCCGAAGAACCAACGACAACGATATCGATCTTCGTGCGGTCGTCCAGGCCGAGCGGCTCCGCCAGCTGCTTCATGCCGCCGGGTGTGGCCGCAAAATTGAACTTCTCGGGGGGCACCGTCCCTGGCATGAGGCGCGAGAAGAAGCCCGTCCTGAGGCGAGGCTGTGGCACGTAGAGTACCTTGCCCGCCTCCAGAGCGGCCACCCGAACGCTCTTTTGCGGCGTGTCCGGGTTCACCTTCACCACCGTCGCGTCCTTGAACTCCGGCAGTGTGGCCAGCCGCTGGCCCGCCTCCCGCGACCCCTTGAAGTTCGGGATGCGGTGGTGCACTGGCCGGGGGAAGTCGGCCAGGTCGTTGTCCTCCAGGTAGTTCCACACCTGCTTGCGCACCTCCCACTTCCACGCCGTCTGGAGAGTCCGCTCTTTTTCTTATCCCTCGCGATGCCCTGCCTCCCCCCGCCCTTCCTTCTCCCCGCCCTGGTCGCGTCACGAGTCGGGCTGGCGCCGTCTGGACACCGCCAATCCCTCCCAGCATCCCCACGAGGGGCGGCAGCGCGGCGCGACCCGTGACGTGAGCGGCCCCCTCTCGCCCCTCTGCCCCCCCTCCCCTGGCCACGCCCGCCATCCATCCGCCCGCCATTTTCGACGAAAAATAAAAATTACGCCAAAAATAATACAAAAATAATCAAAAAATAGTCTGGGGACTAATTTTCTAATATTTTTTGACCTTCTTGGGGTTCTTTTTGGTGTAGTTTTAATTTTTCGTCGAAAATCCCCCTGTAGGGGGACACGCCCGACATAACGGCAGGACACAAAGAGCCGGGGCCCAGGCCCCCGACGTCATGATTTTGTCAGTGCGCGAGCCCCAGAGGTCCGGACCTATTCGCCGGGACCGGTTTGTCATCCTGAGTCGTTTCTTGACGGTCCCGAGGGCCGGTAAGGGCCTCCAGGGGCTGAAAATGTAGAAACACATCCCGTCGTGGTTTGTTCATGACCCGAGGGGGTCTGGGAGGTCTCCTTCTGCGCGCGCACGTTGCCCTCCGCCGCCAGGCCCTCCACCAGCACCATGTACTCCTCCATGCCCTCGCGGGCCTCCCTGTCGAGCACCAGCCGCTCCGCCTCCGTCTCCTGCCGCCCGCCGGCCAGCACCGCCACCGCCCGCGGCGCGCCCGCCGCCGCGCCCGCGGCCCAGGGCCTCGGCACCAGCCCCCTGGCCTGCGTGGCCCAGGAGAACCCGACGCCGCGGGTGACCGTTTCGTGCTTTCCCTGGCAGCGGTCGCTCCCCCCGAGGGGGAGGGGCGCGGGGTCGGGCGGCAGGGCCACGGGTCACGGGAACGGCGGCCGCGGCATGCACCCGCCGGAGTGCGCCCGCGCCACCGGCGCGTCCCTCGCCAGTGCGCGCTACAGAATTCGGGTGGGGGGGCCCAGCCCTGACCTTCCAGAGAGCTATGTTGTAGCACTGGAGACCTAAAAACCTAGAAAGCTGAGCGAAACAGCCTGAAACCAAGACGTAGAATGGCTCTGGAATAGGTTTTTCTACGTCGGGTGCTATTCTTGAGCCCTCCTGGAAGGTCAGGGAGGCCCCCCCCCCGAGCACGATCGCTGGCGTTACCAAAACGCTCACCTGGTCCCCTCGGGCGTCTCTCCCTGGGGCGTGCTCTGACCAGCCTCTCGAGAAGGGGGAGGAGGAGGAGGAGGAGGAGGAGGAGGAGGAGGAGGAGGAGGAGGAGGAGGAGGAGGAGGAGGAGGAGGAGGAGGAGGAGGGGGACCATCGCCACTTACCAGCCCTCTCCCCTTCGCGCCGCGCACATTCGTTTTAACAAATTGCACAAGCTTCACGGATTGAGGGCGGTTCCGTTTCAGTCCGTGGCCCTCGCCGTAGCGCCGCGCACACTCGTTCCTGTGCGCGGTAACGACAGCCCTCCGGTACGCGAGCAGCCGCAGATCTTGGAGGCGGCCAGGGGGTCCGAGGTGGACAGGCCCCCGGAGAAGCGGCCAAGAGGGGGATAAGGCCAAATCCGCTCAAAATCGGTCGCACACCTCCGGGGGTCCATCTGGTGCCATCTTTTTCACCCTGGTTCCGAGTTCGACGGTCCCAAATTCGAAAGAGGCCCCCGCAGTCCGAGCCAAAAACGAAAACACCTTCCCGAGCCCAGAATCCCAAGTCTTGCCCCCCCCCCCCCCCTAAATTCCTGCTCGACAGAACCTGTGCCAGCCCACACAGACCCCCTGCTGGGTCCAACAGCAGTATCGGTGCCTCTTCTGTGGGCGCCCGAAATGGGCACGGAAAGAATGGGCACAACGCCCAACAACACATGTTGTCCAAAACCGACAGCGGCCGCTGTTGGGCAGGCGGCCTTCTGCCTCGGACAGCGGCCGCTGTTGGGCAGGCGGTCTTCTGCCTCGCATAGACCACGTCCGCGTCCGCGGCGGCGCGGACCACGAGCCCTGCTCAGAAGGAGCAAGAACTGCTGCTGGGCATCGCATCCATTCCTTCCGTACCCACCCACGCTGATCGCACCCCTTGAGATCCGACGTTGCGAAGAGATTCACGAAAAATAGCGACTGGAGCCCCGGACCCCATCTTTCTCCGTCATTCTCCGAAGCGGATCGCTCTCTGAGGGCCCCGGGGGCCCGCCACGGAGCGAAACCGCCCGCTGTGAGACCACTGCGACGCCGGGCTCTGCGAGCCGATCTCCCCCCCCTCCGCTGGCCAGCGCCGCGCCCCGCGCCGCGGCCCTGGCCCGCCTGCCGCGCCGCCCCGCGGCCGCCTGCGCCGTGCAGGCGGCGGCGCCCAGGCACAGCGCCCGCACGGCGGCGGCGGCGCCCGCCGCCGGCCGCGGGCGCCCCGGGGCCCGCGCGTGCGGCGAGGGTTCGCGGGGCGGCACCGCCGGCCCCACGGGCGGCGGCCGCGGCAGCCGCGGGCGGCGGCGGGCGCCAGCGTGGGGTGGAGCAGGCGGGCCGCCATCCATCGGAGGGGGGTTGGTCGAGGCCACGGCGGCGCCCCCCCCCTCCCCCTGGCGTGTTCCGTCCTCTCCCTTGGGGGCGCCTTCTTGGAGGAAGGCTGCTTCTCAGAACGCGCCCGCCTTACACCTGCATACACACACATATATATTATATATATATATATATATATATATATATATATATATATATATATATCGAAGTGTGTGTGTGTGTGCGTGTGTGAAAAAAATGCTGGCGCCTTCTAAGAAGCAGGGCTGCTTCAAGGAAGCCTTCCCCCCCCTCCCCCTACCCCCTCTGCGCGTGGCCGCGCTCTGGGCCTCCCGGAGGCGTCTCGTCGCCTCGGCTGGACCCGCGCGAGAGAACAAACATGTCGGGGTGGGCCCCGTGAGGGGTTCCGGGACCGACTTTGAACGGATCCGGGTCGGGCGGGATCGCCGCCGCTGTCTCAACTGGCCCTCCTTCGACATCAGAGCGCACATGGCGGACCCCCTCTGCGCCGCGGCCGGGGGGCCGAGTAGGCGCTGAGGGCCAGCAGTCAGCGCCTCAAGTGGCTGACAAACGGACGAGTGACAAACATGCCCTGGCTCTTGCACGGGGGAGGGCGAGGGCCAGGAGAAGCGGGGTGAGGAGGGGCGGGGGCTCCTCGGGTACCCTGGTGTTCTCTGGGGGCCATCGGTGACCCGGGGGGCGGCGAGCGAACGAACAAACGACGGCGGAAAGAAAGGGCTCCGAGCTCTAGAACACAGCTGTGCAAGAGAATGACATGCTTACTGCAGTCGGCTCCGTCGGGGCAGCCATATGCAAACACACGTGTCGGGCCCCCTCTCCGCTGCGGCCCTCGCGGGCCGGCGGCCGACGCCTGAGGGGCGGCAGAGCTCCGCAATCTCTGGCGACGTGGTTTTTGTATAGGTCCGCGTGCCCGTTGTCGGTCGTGGGTTGCCACAGCTGCCCCTGGCCCAAGGTGACAACCCCAGGACCTGATGGAGGCCGCGTGCTGAAAAAAAACACATCGCAGGGCGGGACGTCTGGGTTCACACCCCGCCGCCCTCCCCCCTTCGGAGACAACTCCTGCATGGGATATCCTCGTCAGGACAATGAAAATCGAATGAATCGATCAACGGGCCACTGAGCCTGATGAGGCCAGATTGAACCAGGTGAAGCTTCATCGCGCGGGATTGAACCGGATGGAACAGCACTATACCATATTGGGCCAGTCTTCGACCACGGATACAGTCAAAACGTTTATTAAGGACGGGTGATAAGGACGCAAGACCCTTGGGGGCCGAAGTTGTTTTTTACGGCGGCGGGCGACCAGTGATAATGGCAAGGACGAGCCTCAGAGGCAAGGACACAAGGGCACCCTAGATGAAGGCGCGCGTCCTTACTGGGCGCGTTGACTGTATACCAGCGGCGATGCTGAATTGAACCTCCCAGGAGTTGAGGCAGCAAGGGCAGCAGGCAGGAAGGAGGAGGAGGAGGCGGAGGAGGAGGAGGAGGAGGAGGAGGGGAGGAGGAGGAGGAGGAGGAGGAGGAGGAAAGGAGGAGGGAGGAGGAGGAGGAGGAAGAGGAGGAGGAAGAGGGCATCCTCACCCCGCTCCCCGCCTCGGACAAGGCTCGGGCGCCCAGGACGCCGGGCTTCGATCACTCCAGGGCCCGAGAGGAGTCTGGAGGAGTGCGGGGGTCCGTCACCGGGGGCGGCAGCGGGGGCAAAGGGGGCAGAAAGGAGGGGCAGGAGGAGGAAGAACGTACGTACCCAGGAAGGGCGGGTCGGGCTCTTCCTCTGCGCCTCAGGGGGGGGAGGGAGAGGAGAATGGAGGAGGGGGAGGAGAAGGAGGAGGAGGAGGAGGAGGAGGAGGAGGAAGAGGAGGAGGAGGAGGAGGATGGGGAGGGTGAGAAGGAGGAGGAATACGTAAACGTACCCTGGGGAGGAGTAGGAGCAGGAGCGAACGCCCCCTGAAGAGTGCCAAACGAGCCGTACGCCTTGCGCAATCCCTGAACAACGAGGGTACGTACGGAGACGAGCCGCCTCGGGGGCAGTGGCGTATACGTGAGAGGGGGCGCGCTGATCCCTCCCGTCGTGGCGTAGGAGCCAGGGAGCTTCGGCGAACAACATCGCCAAGCGAACGTTGACCATGGGGCCAGATTCCATCCACCAGACCCAGACGAACTAAAACATCACCACTGAGTGGCCGCTGAGGGTCAGCAATCAGAGCCAGAAGCTGTTAACAAACAAGGTAATGCTGAATGCAATCGACTTCGCCGGGGCAGCCCATAACACAAGCTGTGGAGCCCTGGCTGCATGCATACGATTACGTGGAGGCTCCACGATGAGATTCAGAGTGCACCATTGGAGGGCGGACCTGCATCTGCATAAGAAGAACAGAAGGTGAAGCCACCGAGGCCAAACATCCGCTGGGACAGGCAGCTCGCGACACTGCTCCGAGCCATAGACGCAACGTGTCAGGAAACACATCAAGATGTCGCCCACGCGTGAGCCCGACAGCAACTGCGCGCTGCACTGCTGGTCCTCCCCCCTTCGGACGAGGACGAGGAGGAAGGATGATAAAGGAGTAAATTTAAGTCGGGCCTGTCCCCCTACGAGGGGATTTTCGACGAAAAATAAAATATACCCCAAAAATTGTCAAAAATAATCCAAAAATAGTATGGGGACAATTTTTGGAATTTTTGGTTGACCTTTTTGGGGTATTTTTCGGGTATGTTTAATGTTTCGTCGAACATCCCCCTGTAGGGGGACACGCCCGACATAAGAGTAGATGAGGAGGGCGCTCTGCACCCAGGTCGGCGGCCGCCCGGAGCGTTCGGCTCGTGCTGGGAACGAGAAGTCTTCGAACGAGACGGTCGAGGGCGCTTCTTCGAGTCACTTAAGTTTGCAAAATCCGCCGGTTCAGAATTATCCCCAGCATCCTCTTCCTCTTTGTCCCCCCCCCCTGCCTGCCTCCTGTCCTGCTTTCCCCTCCACATCCTCTGCCTCTCCCTCCTCCTCATCCCCACCCTGCACAATCCTCCCACCTCTTCATCCTCATTCCCCTCCTCCTTCTCCTCCTCCTCCTCCTCATTCTTTGCCCGTCCACCAACACTTTCACCAGCTCCTC